CTGGTCCAGGCCTCTGTGGAGACCTCCTCCACTCTCCTCGTCAGCCCCAGGCCCCCCGCCCACCCCTGGTCCAGGCCTCTGTGGAGACCTCCTCCACTCTCCTCGTCAGCCCCAGGCCCCCCACCCACAGCTGGGGATGCCCAGAGCTTTATGAGAGGCCAGGGCCGGCAGCAAGCGGGCCCTAGGTGGGCTGGACACAGGCAGCCACCAGGAGTGGATGGGGTGTGGGAACTACTTCCAGGGACGTGGCAGCACCACGAGGACAAGAGAGCTGGCCAGTAAACGCGGCGTGCCAGAGAGAACGGATCCACGCGCTGATCCACACACTGCTCCGTCAAGGGAACATGGGGTGCGAGACGAGGTACACGCTGTACTTGCAGCCAAACAGAAAAGTGCTAGGGAAAGACATGCTAGAATGAACCGCACCACAGTGCTCCACACCGAGTACTGCTCCATGTTCTTCTCTTCCTTAATGAATGCTGATTACCTTGTAATTTTTCACTTCTGTTATTTTCCAGTGACAAGGTGGAAGCCCCCGCCTTTTCCCCAGAAGCAGCCACTGTCAATTGCTGTCTGTGTTCACACACTTGCAAATTCCCACTGATGAAGATTTGTTTTTGCACAAATGAAGTCAAGTGAGACCAACAGTTCTGCAAACCACTTTTTCCCTTAAGGAACATCTTTCCGAGTCAGGATGTGTAGCTCTACTGGCCTTGCTCTCATGTTAGTACAAAACATGTCTAAAGACTGCCAAAGAAGGGAAAAGCAAAGAAAGAGCGCCCAAGGACCGCACCAGCCCTGTGCTTTGACCCTGGCAGGCCTTCGCCGGCCCTGTGTCGGGCTACAACCCGGGCCAGCTCCACGTACCGGGTGGGCAGGGAGGGGAATGTCCCACACCGCCCCCCCGGCAGGTGACGTGGTGTGGGCTCACCTGGGCAAAGCGGCGGGCCCTCCTGCTCACCACGTAAGAATAGGTGCTGGGGAAGCACAGGCTGACAGGCAGCACAGAGACATTGAAGTGTAGGAGCAGGGCACTGTCCCCTGGGCCCTGGAAGTCGGAGTCGTTGACCAGTACAGCCAGCTGCAGGGCGCGGCTCTCTGAGATGGGGAGGCTCCGGTTCAGCACAAGCCCTGCGGTGGGTGTGGGGAGGGCAGTGATGATTCTGGAGCTGGCTCTGGGCCGCCGGCCACACCCCATGCCCACTGTGCACCTTCTCCAGATGCACGCCCCTGCCTCACACGCAGCCCGGGGCACAGGTGACAGGCCTGGGGCCCTGCCAAGTTAGAGACAGCACAGACATTTCCACTGCCAGGCTGAACTGGGTGCCCAAAGAACCCTTTCTGGCCAGGAGATGACCTGTGTGCGTGGGTGTGACAGTGTGAGTGGGGGCATGTGTGCATGTGAATAGGGTTAAGGTACACGTGAACCTGGACTCCTCCTGAAGCAGATCCCCAAACCAGGACCCAAGTGTAAGTGGTTAGTATCTGGAAGGTGATCCCACGACACACAGTATGGGTAGGAGAGTGGGGGTGCGAGGCAGGGAATTAAAGGCCATTTTATATAAGCTGCCCATCGAGCGCGTGAGCACTGTGGCCACTTGGAGCCTAACCTGCTGGAGCATTCTGGAAGCCTGCATAGGACAACCAGCTCAGAATCCCCCACTCAAGGCATGAGAGATGGCTACCGTCCACCAACGCCTGCTAGCAGGGAGCTGCTGGCAGCAGGTATGTGTGCGTGTGTGCTTCTGTGGGTACGTGTCAAAACTCCCTGGCACCTCAGGCCACCTTGGGAGTGACATGTGTGTCCGCGTGGGTGGTGAGCCCAGGGCGGCGAGATGGGGCCCGCAGGGTCTAATGTGAGCAGCTGGAGAAAGAGAGGAGCACGTGGGACCCTGCAGACACGGGAAGGGCTGGGGCAGATAAGCAGGCGCGAGTGGGGGGAGCTGTGAGTCCAGGACAGCCTGTCTTACTGTATTCATGCACTGTGGCCCGCACGAAGCTGCCGTTGCCTGGGGCCAACGTCTCGTTGGGCGTGTGCTCCACGCGGAAGGTCTGGCGTGCCCAGGTGTCCCCTGGGAGCAGCGTGCTCGTGTACCGCCTGGAGAGGTCCCCAGACGCTGGCACCACGTCTGCATCGAAGACCCGCAGCGTGGCCACAACAGTTCCCTACGGAGGACAGGATGCCATGTCAAGGTGGGTGGCAGGGTCCCCACTGTCCCTGAGACCTTGTGAGGATGTGTGTGCGCCCTGGTGCAGCTCATGGGGCGCCCGAGCATGTGGCCCCCAGAGTGCTGGCTCTGGGGACAGGCTGACTTGGGCTGAGATCCCAAGGGGCCTCCCTGTACAACAGGTAAGATAAGAGTGCCTACAGACTTCCTGCAGGGCTCAATGGGGCAGCTGCCACAGACCTTTGCTTACATTCTGCCCTGACGAAGCTGGGCCAAGTGGGCAGGCTCAGCCTGAGGCCACACAGTGGCAGGACCCAAGCCCAGGTGAATCCCAGAGGACCCTTCTCCCAGCACCCTTGCACACCAGGCTGGAGGGTGTCTCCAGGAAGGTTCAGAGCATGTCTCTGCTCAAGAGACCCCCCACTTCTTTACAAAAAGTGCTTTATTCCTGTTTTCCCCACCTGCCAAACCTGCCCTGGGTGCCCAGAGAATCAGTGAGCTGTAGGCCTGGCTGCAGGATGGCCCAAGGCCCAGCAGAGGGCAGTCAAGCGCCACCCTTTGTGGACCAGATGGGGAGGCCTGTGCAGCCAAGATCCTGGAGAGATCCTGCAGGACCACCCTGTCTCTCACCAATCCCCGGCTCTCTCCCCTGTGGGACCCAGCTTCCCCCTTCCTGTAAGGACTGCAAAGATGGAAGGGGGTGCTCCAGGCACCAGGGCTGGGCTGTGTGAGCTCAGGCACCCACAGACATGCCCCAGGGCCTCACCCTCTCCCCCTTCTCCTCCCATGCCCTGGAGATTGGCAGTAAACCCTGACAGATGGACAGGCAGGCAGACAGTCAGCCAGACAGACACACAGGTAGATGGGCAGCTGATCAGACAGAGGAATAAACGGACGGATGGAGAGACAGACACCCAAAAAGGCAGATGGACAGAAAAACAGATATGAGGACGGACAGGCACCTCCTTCCGCTTGAACTCCACCACGCTGCTGGCGGTGTCGAGGCCCCCAGGGAACGTGGGTGGCGAGTCGTCCTCATCATACACGGTCACGGGAAAGGGCACCATCACCTCCTCCTCACGGGCTCCAGCCTGCACTGTGCACGCGGCCACCAGCTCGTACTTCTCCCGCTGCTCTCGGTCCAGGGCCCGAAGGGTGCTTACCTCCATGCTGTCTGGGGCGCAGCGGAAGGGCAGGTGCTCACCTGGGACCAAGCAGACCAGGACCTGGTGACCAGGAACTGCCTTCCTTGGGGGGAGGGGTCTGGGGTCAGACACAGGGTGTGCTGGCTGCTTCTCCTGCACGCTGGCCTTGTGGCCCCACGCCCGCCTCCTCGGTACAACCCCGCGGCGCTATGGGAAGGGCAGGACAAGAGGCCTGTGCTGAGCAACCTGCGAGGAGGGCCTAGGTGGGTCTCTGAACCAGTGCTTGGTGGCCAAGGCCTCCCAGGGCCTGCGCCGCCCGTGCCCTTGGGGGCCTGGGACTGGTGGCAGTGAAGGGTGGCGCCACTTGGGAGCGCTCCAGCACAGGCCAGGCTGCAGGCCCAGACACCCAGGCATGGGCCTTTGCTGTTTCTAAAAAAGTAGCGCTGGGAATTTTCTAAACTATGGGAGCACTACGAGCTCATTTAGAGAATATGAGAAACAAGGAAACGAGCCACAATCCCAGCACTAGAAAACACACACAGCAGATGTGTGTGCCGTCTGACAGCACCAACGCGCGCTCGCAACACCCCGCCCCACCACCTCCTGCGGTGTGGCGGATCCACGTCTCAGCTTCCTCGCCATAGGACGGGGTGACGGTGGCCAAGGTGGCCTGTTTGGGCCAGCCCTGCTCTGCCTGATGACACCCAAGGACTCCAGTCATCTTCCAACACCCAGAGCACACCTTCCACCCAGCCCTGCCGACACTCTGCCCTCAGGAGAAAGCCCAGGCAAGGTGCACTGCTGGCTGCCTGGAGGTCACGCTGGTGACACGGCCACCTGCGGACACACGCCCTGCACAGGGCCGCGGACCACACAGCACGCTGGGGACGCTCACCACATAATGCTTTCCTCTATTCCTCCTGAACACAAAACACGTGTTAAGCACAATTTAAGTGTAGAGGAAAGGGCAGCGTGCAAAGCCACGTGCTGTGCTGCTGGCTGTCTCGCACAAAGACCCCGAAGCAGGGCAGAGGAGAGACGGGAAGGGCGTGTGGGTGAACGCCCTGGGCCTCCGTTTAGAATTTCTGTGGCACCATCACCAGGTTCTTGGGTGCAAAGTCTGGTGTGGGCCCGGTTCCACTGCCCTCCAGCAGACCAGCCTCTGACCCCTGTGAGCTTCAGCTCTTCAGCCGCCTTCTGTCTGCCTCCACTCGGATCCACACCAATCCCCCTCCCCGGCCTCTCTGGCCTTGCAGCTGCTTAGGCAGAATCCCTGGAACCAGGCTTGTCCTTTTTCCCTCAGCATCCCACGTCCGACCCACCAGGAAAGCCAGCTGGCTCTCCCTTCAAAACGTGCCAGAGGCTGCCTGTGTCTCGGCTCCACTGCTCCCACCCTCTGTCCTGTCCCCGTCCTCATGCACCCAATTTCTCAGCAGCCTCCTAAATGCCTGCCTGCTTCCTCCTGAAACCTGCCCATCCAAATCATTCCCAGCACAGGAACCGAAGCCCTTCCATGTCCCTAAGAGAGGCAGTCCTGACAGCCCTCGTGGCCCGCCCTCACCCTGAACATCTCCACCCTTGCCGCCCTTGTCCCTGACCCCTATTTGAAGCAGGCTCTCCACCTTTCCCGTGCCCTCCCCAGGACGGCGTCCTCTTTGTCCTCCATGGGAACAAGGCTCCGGCAGGCAGAGTCTCTGCCTGCTGTGCTCGAGGCTGCACCCTTAGCCCCTAGAACAGAACTGGGCCCATGGTGGGCACATGAGAGGCCTTTCTGGAACATCAAGGGAATGGACGGTGTTGTGGTGGGGTGGACGCGAAGGCCCGGCCAGGCCCGTGGGCCGCACTCACCTCCCAGGAGCCGGTAGGCCACGCTAATGTTGGGGCAGAGGAATTGCACAGGCAGCAGACGGAACTGGTGGAAGGTGCCGGGGGGCCTGTTTTCTCGGATGCGGAAGGACAGGCCTGTCTCTGGGAAGCAGAGGTCCCTGGGTTTGAGGGACCTACAGGCGGGGAAGGAGGCGTTGATGAAGGAGAAGTAGACGCGGGCACAGCCTGGCCACTGGCACTCACTCTCGCGCAGGGATGCCGGCGAGAGGAAGACCTGGAGGTGGACGGTGAGCAGGGGGAACCCGCCATCTGCAGAGAAAGAGCCAGCAGGGCCTGTGGGCGCCGGGCCGATGGAGGCAGGTTGCAGGCTGCTGAAACTCCGCCCTCAGGGTGGTCCCAGGGCTCCACTGAGCTGACCACCCCAGCCCAGTGATTCCTACTGCCCTCCCCTCCCCTAACCCCACCTCAGCCTGCACCTGGGACCCTGTTTCTGCCTCAGGGTCCTGCCACCCTGCTCCCTCTGCATAAGCACCAGTGCCACGTTCTCTGGTCATTCAAACTCTGCTCGATGCACCCCCAGAAGGCCACCCTGAGCTCTGTGCTGAAGTCCCCCCATGCCCCCGACTCCTGCTACATCACTGTCTCCCAGAAGGCAGTCCTGAGCGGTGTCTAACTCCCCCCGTATCTCCCACCACCCTCATCACATCACTGCCCCACCCAAGAGGCACCCTGAGTATCCTGCCCCCATCTCCTGCAGGTGGGCAGCTTCACCAGGGTCTGTTCCTACAGCGCATAGTGCATGCACGCCCCCTCCCCGTGAAGCTCTGCTAAGACACAGCCCGGCGGACAGACTTCCCCAGCGCTAGAGGGGGGCTCTCCAGCACATCCCACCACGGCTGTACCACGCCCCCTCCCCGTGAAGCTCTGCTGAGACACAGC